TATATAAATCAGAGAAAAATGTGTACTTTGGAAATTGCATTATCAATGTTGGGCAAAATTGTGACACGTAACAGTACACCACTTCTACAAAACAGTAAACAAAACCAATGTTTAATTCCTGTAAGATGTATGAATGCAACACTTTTTTCTGATATATTTAATTTCATAATTTCCTGTTGGGTTATAAGTGTGTCTGGCAGTCACTGATTTCTAGCTTCTTTTCAGGTTAAGTTGACCTAGAAACCGCACACATCACCGCATTTATTGAATGCAGCAAACCTGCATTTAAAAAGACATTAGTTTCATCCATTTACAATATACATTTCCACTGGTCCCTCAGTAAACATCAACAACGGCAACTTTGTCATTACACAGCACTTACCCTGTGAAGTCTACCTTTCTGCTAAGGGCTGGTAATGCAGACACTTTCAAATTCTCCTCCCCTTTTATAGTAGTAGCTCAAGGTTACACATTGTTTGTGCCCTTACGTGAAAGCTTTATAACGCTCATAAAACAATGTTGTTTTATCTATTCCAGAATTGATGTGAGTCGAATAAACAATTCTGCATGGATATGGCTAGAGTAGAAAAACATTGTTGCCCTGTTTATTTTAGATAATTGTAGGTCATTATACTGTATTAGAGCACTGTCTGTTCATTTGTGACAGTCTGGATAGGAAAAAAAATATATATATCATCATCCTGTCAAACATAATTTTTGTTTAATTCATTGACTCAGCTACATCTAAGAGATTGATGGTGCATGATAAACTGATGTGTTAATTTCTGAATTATATTTCTGGCAGAAACATAAATAAAAAATACAAATATATAATTTATCCACAAATATATTCATTGGGGAAATGTAATTTCTCATAACATTCCACTGACATTTGAGTCAGTTACTCATCATTTCTAATTATTCATGTGAATGAGTGAATTAACGTATTGTTCTAGGGGAAAAAGTGTCACATGACAGATGAGTTCTTTGAATCAATATCTGTGTTTGTTACTTTGGCGATCTTCTTCCTTATTTGTCAGTTAAACATTGTATGGGAAGTAACACAACAGTAATACTGTTTAGCTATATGACTTGGGCCTCAGTGGACAGCTGTTCCTGGAAATTGACAGTAGATTAGAAAAACATCAATAACATTTACTTAGTAAGACACGTCACATAAAGGCACTGTTGTAAAGTAATGTTTTCCATGTAAAGCAGCTGTGGTACTTTGCATTATCAATATTATACTAATATTATAACAATGCTAATTTTGTCTTAAATGATTTGAAATGCAATTATATTTCAAGCCACGAGACAATGTTTTCATTTTCCATTTATTTTGGTCATTTTAGTGCCAAGTTCAAGTTTAACCCCAAGTTGACACCAAGTCTTTCAGATCATTTGCCAGATATCACTAAAAGAATATTGATAGTCTTAACATTTTCATTTCAATTTTGATTTTAATAGTGTTAAATTGTGAAATACAATTTTTACTTTAAGTGGACATGGTTAATGAATACCCATTCATGGTATGTGAACATGAAAGACCTGCCTGTTGCAGGACTATTAATAGGTAACTGTTTAACCATCAAGGTCGAAACTTAGATTTTCTTAGATATCTGTATTCATCTAATGATAGTTTAAGGGAATATGCAAGATTCTGTTGTATCACTTTTTGAGTAGACTATTGTCCCATATATGTTTTCCTTCAAGCTTCAGTGGCCTAAAGCATTTGTAGAAATTATGACTTCTCTGCATCTGAAGCAGGGACTGGGGAGTAAGTGTAGGTGGACTCATGGGTGAAAAAAATATCAAAAAATTATAGATCATTTTTGGTCAACTAGTGAATGCGATGTCATTTAACTGTGATTTAATCTTAGCTAACTACCAAACTCTTGCCTATTAACAGACCATGCAAGATCTTTCTTTGATCCCATGTGTTGTCTTGTGATAACTCCATCAGGGTTCAGAAGCACCTATCTGCATTCCTCTTGCTTTTTCTCTTTACATTTATCTTTTGGTTTGTAAGCTTGCCTGTGTGATACATAAGTGGTGAATAGTAATGCTAAAATGTGAAAACAATGCTAATCCAGACAAAACATAAACTCATGTCATTCATCAGCTGCTCTTGTATATAATGGAGCAAAAAACAAATTTTGACTGTACATGCAATTTAGTTTAGTTTAGTTACACTGGCCATACTTTATATTGATTGCCTAGATGTAGATGTGGAACACAGCAGCAGAAGTCATGAGTAGATCTGATGAATCATTTCTATTGCTTATTGTAAGTTGACCTTTCAAGTTGTGGGACTGATGTTTTGTTGGTGGCAAAAATTTCATTTACACATAGCAGCAATTTAAGTCCGATTGTTACCAAATATAATCTGGCTGGTGTGACTGAAATGCATTCAGCATTCATATGTGCCTAGCATTAGGTTAAGAATTGCCCTTCCTCAGATTACTCATCCAGATACATATCAGTGCACCAGTTGTAAAAGGGGATAGGTTTGCAAAAACATTAGAGTAGTCAGCAACTCCCACAGTGTAGTCTCAGATAGCTTTATCTTGTGGTTGTTAGGCATAAATCTAAACAACAACAGGTCATTTTGCAGTCAAT